CGCGGGAGCCCTCCCGCCCTAGTCCTCCGCGTTGGTTCGGTAGGCCTCGATGAGGCCCTCAAGCGAGTGCACGAAGCCGGACACACTGCAGATGCCACCGATGACGAAGATGGCGACATCGAAGAAGACTTGGTGCCACAGCAGCTTGCGCCAGAGCAGGCGCAGGTGGAAGAGGCTGGGCAGCAGGAAGCAGAGGCCGGCGCCCGTGAGACTGCCGGTGAGACCCATGAGCAGCGCGAAGTGCGGCACGTAGATGGCCATGAGCAGCGTGAAGACGACCAGCGCACAGCGCAGCGTCAGCCCCCACGATTTGAGGCGCCCGTCGCCGCCGTAGCAGGCCGGGAAGAAGGCGCGGCTGCCTTCCTGGAAGAGCGACTTCTCCAGCACCTCCACAGCAGCGAAGAAGGGCAGCGGGTAAGACAACAGCGCCTTGGCCACCAGGAAGATGTTGACCACGGCACGGATGGAACCGGGCAGGTTATCCGTGATGACCTCCTTGGTCTCGTCGGCCCAGGTGAGGTAGGCGACCAGCGCGAAGAGGCCCTTGAGCACGCAGGCGGCGATGTGAGTCCAGTTCATCATGCAGTGGAACTCGCTGGGCTGCTGCATGTTGCCCTCCAGCGAAGGCAGGAAGATCTGGGACGTGTAGCTGAACACGATGATGCCAATGGAGATGGGAAACTTCTTGACGTCGATGTAGAACTTGACCTTCTCCCAGGCCCAGTCGCGTGCCCGTGACAGGCAGTAGGCGATGACCAGGATGTTGATGACGAAGTGGGCCAGAGTGCACAGCAGGCTGAACTTGGACACCGCCTTGAGGTTCTTAAGGAAGGCGCAGGGCAGCAGCACGGCGGTGGCGATAATGGCCCAGGACTTCTGCGACACGGGCAGCCCCGGGAAGCTGTTGTACATGAGGTTGCCGCTGACCACCACGTACAGGATGCAAGTCATCACCAGCTCGATGATCTGCGCCACGTTCACCACGCGGCCTCCCAGCGTCGGGAAGCGCGGCGCGCAGCACGCGTTGGCGATGGCCACGTACGAGTCCCGCACGCGCACCACCTCGCCGTCCTCGTTCTCCTCGTACAGGCACGCGATGAGGATCTTGCCGGTGTAGCAGCACACCACGGCGGCGAAGATGATGAGGAACAACCCTAGGTAGCCGCCGTGCAGGATGGCGTAGGGCAGGCCCAGCACGAACATGCCCTGCGGAGCGGAAAAGGGAACCAGACGCCGGGGCTCAGCGGCAGCAGCCTCGTCAGAGGGGGCCTAGAGGCGTGGCTTAAAACTGGGGCCGCGAGGGGGCGCTACGCGGAGTGAGAACCGGGCTTCAGCCCCCGGGAAGGGAGGTTAACGGGCGGCTGCAATGGGGGTGTCCCGCGGCCTCACCGGGGGAAGCCCGGGCGTCGAGTCAGATGGAGAGGGAGGTGTTCAAGGACGGAACTGAGAGGGAAAGGTGCGCTAAGGGCCGGGAGGTGGGGAGGAGGCTGAGCGTGGGGTCAAGCCACAAGGAGGGAAAAGGTATATGGAGATATTTTGGAAGTAGATAAGAAGGGGCTGGAGGGGTCAGGGCCAGAAAAGGGCGGCGAGAAAGGTAGAGAGCTGGGCCTGAGCCACTAGGAAGAGGGGGTGAGGGATTTT